ATCGTGACTGGCTCCGAAAATCGTTTTTTCCCATCAAAAGGTTTACATTTCCCTTTTAAACGCCCGCAGGTGAGACTCAAGCGTACGTGAATGACAATATTAAGACGGGAGGGTTGGGTGGTAAGTTGCTTCAAATGTGCAAAAAGATTGTTTTATTTGTAGCGAGAAACATAATGACTGCAGGACACGTAATCGAATGCGTATTTTCCCGAAATGTAGAGAGAACTCACGCTCCGGGAAGCGGAATGCATGGCCAGTCGAAAATAGGTACCAACAGCGTCAACGTTCACTGGAGAGATCTCATCCCAGCCATCCACACGCACAATTAACTGTCGCATCTCTTCCGAACTATCCTGTAAAATTTACCAGTTGTTGCTGTTCCAGAAATTCTCACATGAAAAGTCTTTCGAGATTTACATCAGATAAAATGATAGAATGATCACTTCCGCCGTTTCCCTCGAAAATATGCAAAAAAATCTTCCACGTGAGAAGTAAAAAAATACGAAAAGTTTTCCTTGAGGGGGAAAACACCAAAGTATTCCACATAAAATTTAAAAAAAAAGGAATTCGTAGCACTAAAAACACCAAAACTGAGCAAATGGAGGAAAAATAAAGTGACACGTTATCTAAGACAAGGCTGTTCGCTTATTCCAAGTTTGCAGTGTTCTTTCAACGCAGGAAAAAAGAAGAACGTCGCTGCAATCAAGGACACCAATAGCAAGATGTACTACCCAGTGAGTTGGTGTGAGCTGGATACGTTACTGCTGCAAACGAATGCAGAAATACCAAAAAATCTATTTCCAGACGCATTTCAACTGGTAAAACGCTACGTACTTGTGTGACTGTTATACCTCTGCGTTACACTGAGTAGTTGAAAAAAATATAAAAAATTAAAAAATGAGGAAACTGATGAGAATTCGATAAATTCGGAAACTGATGAGAATTCGGGATGGGTCCACGTAACACGAGAGAGAGAGAGAGATGTACAAGTTGGCGCTGATTTACAGCACCGCACCCACATTTCTGATCTAAATAAGATGCTGAAAAGAGAAGCAAAGGAGAGAGAATATTCAGAAACGGATGTGTCCAGTGCAAGAGAGTAAATTTAGCAAAAAATTTGATAAAATTCGCATAAAACAAACAATAATGGCAAGACGTTTGGTCGGAAATTCGAATGTGGTTGTGGTGCCAGCTGCGGTCAAATACCATTTGGCAGTAGATTTCCTCTGCATTTTCCGAGCTTCGATTACATCATTAACCTCTGTTGTAAACCGTAGATCGGATCCAGTCTCGTTGTGCAGGATATATGGGAGGTGATCGGATCGTGATCGCATACATGTCCCTCTACAATACAGCAAGCGTCAGTCATCACAAGAAACCCTTAGTGATATTGTACCCCAAAAAAAACCACCAACGAGGGCTATCGCTTTTTTGTCCAGATGAGCCTTGCCAAAACAAACCGTATAACAAAACAAAATGTGCGAAAATGGAGTGAAAAGTGCAAAACAGATCCCGACTCCAGCGGATAGACGGAGAGACTAGCCAATGCATCTATGTTTTAGCAGATGCGACGCTAAAAATCTGCTCAAAAAGCCATAGCGCCATTGAAGAAAAGCAGGCAGATGGCGATAAATCGGCTTCCAAGCACAAAAAATATCATATCCACAAACGAAATGGACGGCGAGGAAGAATGTGCCGTTTTCTAAGAGGAATCAGCGTGTCTTGCGTAAAATGCATCAGTTCGAAAAAAAGATAATAAAATTTGGAAGCAGATCACTCTGTGGGAAGCTGGCTGTGTCGCTCATTCAAACGGCTTATTTTTCGATGAAACCACGAGAAAGCCAAAACTTGAGAACGCCCCCCAAACGGGGTCTCTCTAACCGCGCACCCTCCTTTCCTCATTCCTCTCGCAAGCCAGCTGTTTAACACCCGATTACTCAAATTATTGCTAACTTGTTATATGCCTTTGGAGAAAACTTTAATTATTTTCAGTGCCGAAAATAATTAAAGTTTTCTCTAAGGACAAATTGTGAGTTAAGTGGACAATGACTTGAGCTGCTTGCATACTCGGCTGTGCTAGTCTTAGTTTGTTGTGTAAGGATTCTCGGGGGGAATTATATTGCCAATGCGATGGTTTCGAATGAAACCTTCACAGTGCCACAGCAGTTACACAGTTATAAAAGAGAGTGTTGAGAACGGACCGGAAATCATCGTCGAAAGCCTGCTTGATTTCACTGAGCTGAGAACTGAGATGCATTGCCTGTCGCAAAAATGCTTGCGTTATATTGATGTTGAAAGTGCTGCGTTCATCTGAAATTTTTATTAAAAATTAGCACTAAACATTCTTTTTCCAGCATCTCCCTACTCGAACATGTGGAAAATGTCCTGTGTGTTGAGTGAGTAAATGGAAAATTTTCAAACAGCTAAAGCCTCACCAAGCGTTTCTGACAAGAGATGAGCCACGGAGATCAAATGAACGTCAGGGCCATTAGGAAGGAAGACTGCACACTAGGCGATGCAGAGCTGGTCAGAGCAACTGGAAAACTAGCCTGACGTACAACCAGAGAAGCAGACTACGAATTAAAAATTGTTCTAGATACTGCAAAAAAACCCCCAACCTAAATTCGTAGAATGAAAATTAACGAAAAATTCATGTTGTTGTAAATCAAACCAGCAAAAACATCGACAGTAACAGCATTATTCTTGATGGCCATGCTGAGTTGTTTCAAATGCCAATCTTCAACTAACGGCTCCCAGCCGAAGACACTCTGATTGAAATAATCTGCTGCGAATATAAACGAGCCGGCAATACGTTCCAGGCATCGATGTAAATAAAACTCTAAAAAATTGAAGCAATTCAGCACATTTACATTGTGATATTTAAGCTGAAGTACCCTTTCTAACTGATTACACGTGCGAGTCCTACGAGGGTATCAGAAGAGATCTGGACGATAAATGGTGAGAATTCAAGCAGTTTACTCTTCTGGTGAGCGTCTTTGC